CCCTCCGCCGCCCCCACGAATGGGACAGCTGGGGGGGTGCACTGCAGAGCAGTTGGGGTCCCCCCCGCTCAGATTGTTCTCAGGCCAGGCCGCAGAGGGGTTAGAAAAGGAAGGATAACAGAGAGGCACCGGGCCCGGAGTCGTGCCCAGGGCTGCCTTCTTGCTGCCACCAGGAGCCCTGCCCAGGCGCCATGGACGGAGGCCGCCGGCCCCGGTGCGCTCTCCGCACACGAGCGGCCAGCGCGTGAGTGGGGGCATCCCGCTGCCCAGGGGGGCGGCCACCTCCATCAGGGCGCCCGGGCCAGCCAGTGGCTTGGACAGTGAGAACAGAAGGGCAGCCGGGTGAGAAAGGCAGGGGGGAGAGGCGCTGGGGCGGAAGAGACTGGTGACGACGGGTCCTCGGCCGGGGGTCTGCTGGCTCGGCCCGGAGATGCTGCTGGGAGCGCATGGCACAGTCGGCTCTGCTGGGCGCAGCCTTTCCCCAGCGGGCCTGGGCCGGGAACACACACCCCGCCTCAGGAGGGCGCCCCAGCAGAGCCGGTGGCTGAAGCAGGCCTCTCGGTGGCTCGGGGCCAGTAGGCCGGGCAGGAGCTGGGGTGCCGGGGCCCCGTCGGGCGGTCGTCCAGGCGGCACCTGCTCAAAAGCCCAGGGCACCCGTGGCCTCGTCCACCACACCCCTGCCCCCGCCTGCGCCTTTTTCCCGGCCTGCGGCCAGCCAGTTCCCTCTGGGGGCAAGCAGGGCAAGCATGCAGGAACCGAGCGTGGGGGCAGCGAGCCCCCGCCCTGCCGCCCTGCCCTGGGAGTGCGGAGCCGGCCCCGGCCCTGAGGCACCCTCTTTGTGCTCACGGGAGGGAATGCGGCGAGGAGCCGGGCTGCCGTTTGGGGGTGCCACCGCTGCCGAGGCGGCTGGGCTTGGTCCTCGCCCGCCTGTGGGCCTGAGCTGCGACTGCGGGGCTCGCGGGGCTAAGACAAAGGACTCCCAACAGCAAGGCGCCCCTTCAGTTAGCAGGACAGCCCCCCAGTTCTGATACGCTGTGGCGGGCGGAGGCGGAGGGGAAATGAGCAGACTCCAGGGGTGGCCTGCGTGCTGCTTCCACGGAGGGCCGGTGAAGACCCTCCCTCTTTTGGAGGAGGAGGTGCAGGGGAGCCGTCCGGGCGCTGCCTTGGGGCACAGCCGAGCAGCCTGGCTCTTGGCCTCGCTGCCCTGCCCTCCCCGTCTTCGCCCGATGGCTCCTGCCCAGCAAACCCCCATGTTGCTCAGGCTGCAGGTACTGCAGGTAGTCCATGCCCCCCAGCAGGCCCAGGTCACACCTGGCTGTGCAGCTGGCCTCCACGGGAGCCTCGGTCCAGAGTGGTCCAGAGCAGCCCAAGAGTGCAAGGCGGGTGCAGGCGGCGCCTCCCTTTGGCCGGCGTGTGGGGAGTGGGGGAGCGGCTGGGACCCTGCGCAGGAGCTCCAGCCCAGCAGCGAGGCAGACATCCTCTCCCTGGCCCAGCAGGACCTCCTGCCGGTGGGGGCGGCTCCTCATCTCCCCCCCCATCGGGGCTCCTCTTCTGCTCTCTGTCATGCCAAGAAGTGCCCAGCCCCCCCAGCCTCTCTGCACTCCTGCCAGAAGCTTGCCTGTGGGATGGGGCCGAGACACCCGCCTAGCCTGGGAAGCACGGAGGGTGCTGCTCCGCTCCAGTCCGGCTCCCGGAGGGCCCCCCCCCCACCAAAAGGCCTGCAGGCACTTGGCATCACTTGCCGCAGACAGCGAGCGGCTGGGGGCCTCCCTCCCAGCCGCCTCCCCCACTGGATTAGCAAACGTCCCGGTGAGGTGGTACCTTGCGCAGACTGGAGAGGCTGGTCGGACAGGGTTCCCGTGGAGAACTGGCCCCGCAGCATGCCAGCTGGCAGATGAGTCCGGGTGGCAAACAGCCATGTCAGCAGCCCCTCCTCGCCGCTCGCTGCGTCTGGTGTGCTGGGCCCTGGCCGGCTGCCCCAGGAGGCAGCGCACGGCGCTCCGGCGTCCCCTGCAGGCCGGTGGCTCACGGATCCCATCCTGTGCAGCAGAGCCACAGCCTCCACGGCCCTGCCCAGCAGCCCCGAGAACAGCGCCCCGTGCAGGGGTTGCCTGTGGGTGGCCTGCCGGAGCCCTTTAGGAATTCATCACAATGCTTCTCGCCTTTTCTCCCCACAAGGAACCCAAGGCAGCTTATACAACCGTGCCAGACCCCTTTCAACCCGATCCTCACAGCGACAGCCCTGCGAGGTCGGCTGCGCTGCGAGCCTGTGGCTGGCTCAGGCTCCCAGGGCACTCTGGGGCTGAGTGGGGGCCGGAGCCTGCCTCTCCCACGTCCCTGCCAGCTCTCTCGACCACCGCAGGGCACCGGCTCTGCCCTGGTTCGGCAGCGGTGCCCAAGGGACCCAGCCAGGATCTCCTCCCTGCAGCCCCTTCTTGCCGGCGCGGCCCTCTGGCAACATGTGCGGGGCTGTGTACAGGCAGCACGCCGGGACAGCACCCGCTTTGGCGCTGGCAGCCCGCCAGAGCGGGTCCGCACTGGAAGACTCCCAGGTTGCAGAGACGCCAAGCGCTGCCAGGCATGGCACCAAGGGCCCCTCCAGCTGGCCGTGGCCTTCGCTTCCTGCTCGGGCTTCACCTGAGCTGCCCTGCACCCAAAGGGGCCCAGCAGGCTCTCCGTTCGTTCCAGGCACAAACATTCCTGCGAGGAGGAAGAGAGCTACAGCTTGCGACGGACCCCAGGTGGATGTCCACCCGCCATGGCAGAGGACGTGGTGCTCCGCACGGGCTTCCCGCCCGGTGAGCTGATAAAGCGCTCCCTCCCTCCCGCCTGCCCTCATCATCCACTCCAAACGTTTGCCTGGGGAGCCTGGTTTTGCTGGGACCTGCTGCAGAACTTGGTGCCAGTCTTTTCCTCGGTGCCGGAATATCTTCTGCCATGAGCCGCTTGTGGGGTGAACTTCTCAGAGGAACTCTCTTGGCACCCACCTTGCACCGTTTCCTGTACCAGGTGAGGATTCATTTTCCCAAGAATTTTAGTCTTTCAGTCTGTTGTAAATCCTGACTGTGTTTAAAATCGTTGTACTGCTGCTAGGTTTTGCTGGGGGTTTGCCTTCTATGCTGTATTGTGTTTTTAAATGTTTGTAGTGCTGTTGCCCCTTCATGGGTCACTGCCTTGCCGTGGCGAAGGGGCTGTGTAGCGCAACGAAACGACGAGCGATGCCGGCAGGGCCACCCAAGACAGACGGGTCACAGCAGAGAGATCTGGCAAAAGGTGACCCACTGGAGAAGGAAATGGCAGCCCACTCCAGTACCCTTGCCACGAAGACCCCAGGGACAGCGCCAAAGGGCAAAGAGGTATGACGCCGGAAGATGAGCCCCTCAGGTCGGGAGGTGTCCAGTGCGCTACTGGGGAAGAGCGGAGGGCCAGTACTAGTAGCGCCAGACAGAATGAGGCGACTGGGTCAAAGCCGAAAGGACGCTCAGTTGCAGATGCATCTGGTGGTGAAAGGAGAGTCCGATGCCCCAAAGAACATTACAGCCCAGGAACCTGCAATGTGAGATCTATGAGCCAGGCAAGCTGGACGTGGTCAAGTGTGAGGTGGCAAGACTGAACACCCCTTGCCCCCACAGCCATGCAGCCCCCAGCCCGGCTCCTGTGGGGCTCTGCGATGAGCCCGCCCATGGCAGGCCCTTCCCGCCCCGCCTCCTCCACAGCTGCCCCAGGCCCAGCGGAGATCCAGCATCTGCATGGGCCCCCTGCCCCGGCACCCGGCCCTGCTCTGCAGCCCGGCAGCATTGTCCTTCTGGCTCCTGGCTGCCGTGGCGGCAGGAAGCCAGCTGGGCCCGGGCAGGGGCTCTGGGCACCCCTGCCACTCTGGGGCGGAGGGCATGGGGGCGGCCGCGTCGCAGCCGGCTCAGCCCGGCCACTGCCTCACAGCTGGGTCTCGGAGGGGACAGCAGGGCAGGACAGCCACGGGCCGGGCCGGGCCAGGAGCAGCCCCATGGCTGCTCGGGGCTTTGCTGGCCTGCCCGTGGTCACGGGCGGTTTCGGGGGCGAGGCGTGGCTGGAGCGTGTGGCTGGAGCAGCACTCGGGGAGCCGGGACCGAGCGTCGTCTGTTCACGTTGCAAATGGTCCTGTTTTAGGTAACTCCGATAAACTGCGGACCGGCTCCGTCTCTGTTCCCATGAAACCACTTTATGTTTTCAGAGCCAAACCACGTCAAAGATCCGACTGCGGTGGGCAGCCGTGGCCGCCATGTGGCCGCTGTAGGCCGCCCTGCCCACCCTGGCACGTGGCTGCGCCGGAGACTCGCACTCTCCGAGGGCCAGCTCAGCTCCCGCCTGCCGCACCCCCAGGAGCCCGCAGTGGCTTTCTGCCCAATCCCCACCATGGGCACCTGCCCCTCTGTATTGCCGGCCGGGGGGCCAGGGGCTCCTTCTAGTCTGGCCCGCACGGGGGGCTGGCCTGGCTCGTTCCTGAGGCTGGCGGCAGGCGAGTTGCGGCAAGGCGGGGGTCCCGGCTGGGCCTGAATGAGCTGCATGCGCTGCCATCGGGGTCCCCCTGCGTGGCCGGCTCGCGGGAGCGAGGCTGAGCGCAGTTCCGCTGGGAACAGCAGCACCTGTGGGCCCCACGTGGTGGGGGGGTGGGGGGAGAGTCGGGATCCCAGGCGAGTGGGGCTGGGAGGGCCGCGAAGGCCCTCGCCCAGCCCCACCATCGCAGGACGGCCCTGTGCACCATCCCCTCCGTCTGCGGCTCCTGGGGTTGGGCGAGGACCCTCGGCTGAGCCACTTGGGCAGAGATGCCGAAATAGGGAGGGAGGCATTGTCCAAGATGACCCGGCGAAGAGAGTCCGTGCCCCCGATGTGCCCCCCCCCCGCCTGGGCCACGCCAAGGGTGTCCGAGCAGCCGCACGAAGGAACACAGGACAGTTCTCCATAGGAGGAAGCTTTTAATGGCTGCGCAGGAGCAGGACAGCTGCCCCCCCCAGGCCCCCCCATCACAGGGATCCGGCCGGGGCCACATCCATCAGCACGAAGCTCTTGATGTGCTGGAACTTGTTGCAGGAGAAGTCCACCTGCATCTGCACGGACCCTGCGCTGCGCGGGGTGAACTCGAAGTAGATTTTTGATTGCTCCCCAGGCGCCAGTCCAGCCACACTGCAAGAGAGGGGGAGACGGATGCAGGGGGCCCGCCAGAGTGGGGGCCCCGCATGTGCCAGCGCCATGACCGGCTGTAGCGAGGCTCCCTCCACCGGTGTGGCTGAGAGCTCAAGGAAGCCGTGCGGGCCAGAAGCCCCCCCCCCCCGCTCCTCAGTGCCCGTTCCCCCAAGAAGCTCAGCCCTGCTCCAGTCTTTCTCCTTGTGGAAGCTTCTTCCCCTCCCCCCACCGGAACCCCCCCCCCGGGAAGGGCCATGTGAGGAGCGGGAGAGCCTCTCCTCGCTGGGCCCCCAGCTCTGCCCGCTCCGCGTGGCAGGCCGTGGCCAGAGGCACCTGCAGCCGCTGCTGTGGGGGTGCTGATGGCCTGCTCCCGCCGGGGCTGGGCAGGGAGGGGCTCCATCTTGTGTGGGGAGCCAGACCCCAGACCCCCCGCCCCCGCCGCACTCACTTGATCTTGACCGCCTGGCCCATGAGCGTCACCAGCAGCACGCACTGGTCCACGGGCTCTGGCAGCGGGTTGGCATAGCAGATCTCGGCCGTGGCCGGCCTGTTGGCCACAATGCCGGGCGGCAGCTGCGGAAGGAGAGAGCCGTGCTCAGAGCCTGCGGCCGCCAGCGCAAGCCCCTCAGCGGGAGGGCAGGCAGCTCCCCCCACCCTGCCGGGGGTGCAGCCCAGGGCAGAACCAGAGGTCGCCCCAGCCTCTCCCTCCCCTCCTCCGCCCGCGTCCTCGTGCCCAGCCGTGGGGCGCTCCTCCGTGGCCCCTCCAGTCTTGCCTGGGGAGGCGGAGTGGGCCGTCCTCACCCGAGCCCTTCTGCCCGTGACACCAGTGGGACCGTTTCCCTTTGCAGAGGCAGGAGGGGCCGCCCTGATCCGCCCCGGACCGGGGCCACCGCGAGGGCAACGGCCGCCTCGCTCGCCCAAGCACAGTGGCCCTGGAGTGGGTCCCAGGCCGCCGGAGCGGTCTGCCAGCCGCGGCAGGCCAAGGCTTTCCCGTTCGAAGGCACCCGCCCAGCGTGCTTCCGCGTCGTCACCACGTGGCCTCTTCGTCCTGCCTTCTAAGGGCCTGTCTGAAGCTACCGCCATTCGCTGACTTGCAGCTTTCCAAAGCTGTCACTGTGCAAATGGGCCAGGGCAGCGGCGGCACCTTGGGTGCTTCCGGCTCGGCCCCTGGCTGCGGAGCACCCGCCTTGCAGCGCCTTCGCTCGGCTCCAGCCGTTTCCCACCTTGTGCCTCTCTGGACCGGCAGGACCGGCAACAGGGATCCGGGCCCAGGGAGCCTCTCGTTCGGACTACTGCTCCGCGCTGTGCATGGGCCTGCCCTGGCAAACAGCCTGGAATTGCAGTGGGCTCAGCCCAGGACGGCCTGCCGCCTCATGGGGACTCCCAGGCACAAGCACGTGCCCCCACGCCTCTTCCCCGCTCACGGGCTGGTCCAGGCCCACTCGAGGGCACCCACGGCGACTTGCAAGCCCCTGAAAGGCTCAGGACCTGGATGCCAGACCCTCAGCTCCTCGCCAGCCGTCCTCCTCTCCAGGAGCCCGCTGTGAAGGATGCAAGGGAGGCAGCCTCCCGGAGAAGGGCCTTTTCGGCGGTGGCGCCTCGGTCAGGGAACCAGTTCCAACTAGGTGCACCTGGTGCCGACGTTAGATACCTTTCAGCACCAGGCTAAAACCTTATTTTCTCAATATTTTAACTGCTATTACTTTATATTTTTAAGCTTATTTTATTTATATGACACTGTGGTTGTCTGTTTAATTGGATTTATGATTTAATTAATTCATATTATTGTTACTGGATTATGTAGTTGATTTTATATTCTGTTTTAGTGTCATTTAGTACTATTTTTATTGGGTTTATCCTGGGATTGTTAATCTATTTTGAAGTTGTATGTTATGTCTTAAACTATTTTAATGTGAGAGTCGTCTGACAAAAGGTATGGCATAAAAATGCTTTCAAGAAACAGGCAGCACGCTGTGGCTGCCCCTCAGCAGCGAGCCCTGTTCCGGCCCGTGGGCCTCCTTTCATCCAAATGCCTATGCCTCCCGTGCGGCCGGGGAGGACCAGAAGTTCCGCGCTCTTTCCAGTCTCCTGTGGAGGCTGCTGTGAGCGGAGAGGCAACTAAGATGCAGTCCAAGGCAGGGCAGCAGTCACCCTTTTTGGAATGTCTTTAAAAGGGTAAGTGCCAGGATACAGCCCAGGACTCGGTCTCTGCTGAAGGTGGGCTTGCAGAATACAGAGGCCTGCTTAAAAGGGGTCTCCCGGTGCCGCAGTTGACAGGAGGCCGGACAGGGACTGGTGGTCTTGGGCCCTTCGGAGCTCAAGAGCAGCAGAGGCTGGGAAAGGAGGGCCCTGCCCTGCCCTGCAGTGAGGCAGACACCAACTGGGCCGCCTTCCCTGTGAGCAGGCCAGGCGCAGAGTCCCCGGCCTCACAGGGCGCAGGCGTACAACCGATGGGGGGGAGTCTGTGAGGTGAGTCAGGAGCCACCCGGCCGTGGCCAGGTCATCTTCCTAGAGCTCGGGTGGCACGGAGCCTCCCGGCAGGGGCGGGCACCCGCGGAGGAGCGCGTTACCGTGATGGAGATGCTCGGGCTTGCCAGGGTGATGGCCTTCTCCACCAGCAGCTTCACCCCCTCAAAGATGTCGCACAGGGCCGTCACCAGGAGCTTCTTGTCGTCGGTCAGAGCCGCCCCGTAGTGGGCGTATGTGATGCGCAGTGGAATGTGCTTCTCTGGAAGGCCAAGGAGAGGGAAAGATGTGGCGCAGCCTCGCGTCCCCCCTCCTACATTTGGGGCATCGCCAAAAGAGCTTGGCCGAGCCCCGCTGGATCAGACGGAAGGGCTGTCTGGCCCCACGTGCCCCGTGCATGGTGGCAGCCCGGCGGCCCACGGAGCGTTGCAGGACCTCCTGCCCGCACCCCCCACAACCGGCATGTGCAGGCACACCGCCTCTGGGGGAGGAGGGAGCCGGTGGCCAGCAAGACTAGTGGGCCCTGACGCCTTCCCTTCCGCCATGAGCCTGTCCAGGCCCTTTTTAAAGCCGTCCGGATGGGCGGCCACCGCCAATGCCCATGGCAGCAAATGCCATTGGTTTGCCATACAGTACGGCGATGGACCCAGTTGGCCAGAGAGGCTGTGGGCTCCCCCACCCTGGAGGCATCCCAGATGCAACTGGACAGCCATCGGGAGAGGTGAGGTAATCTGCTGCCCTGCATTGGAAGGCAGTTGGACCCGGTGGCTCTCTGGATCCTTGCGACTCTACTCTTCTATGAAAGTATAATTCTAGAAGTCCTTCCTTTTCTCTATCCTAAACCTCCCACCAATCAGCTTCCTGGGATGACCTCGGGTGCGAGTTTTACAGGAGAGAGAGAGCGGTTCCCCCCTCCGCTTCCTCCACACTGTGCCTTACTTTAAACCCCTGTCATGTCTCCCGACTCACCCTTTTCCAGGCCGAACAGCCCCAGTCGTCGTCGCTGCTCCTCACGGGAGCTGCTGCAGCCCCTCTCCCTGCGCCTCTCCCTGCCTTTTCCATCCCCATCATGTCCCGAACCTCAGCCCTGACCATAAGCGCATTGTGGCCGCACTAAGGATTTGTGTGGGGGAAGGACCATCTTGGAGGGTCTCTGTTCTGTGCTGCCCCTAAGGGTGCCCAGCACGGAGTTTGCCCTCTTCGCCGCAGCTGCGCCCTGGGTGGCCTTTCCATCAAGCCACCCAGCCCCACCCGAGACCCCTTTCCTGGGCAGCCACTGCCAGCTCAGGCCCCATAGCGAATGCTTGAAGGCGAGCCTTTTGTGTGCCCCCAAATGCGGCACTCTGGGTGCTCTTGAACGGCGCCGGCCACCTTGGTGCCCATTCGCCCGGCCTGGAGAGATCCCTTCGGAGCTGCGCCGCACCCCTTCTGGTTTTACCCGCCCGGGAAAGTTTGGTGTCATCCGCAAACTTGCCCACCTCCTGCAGATCATTCATGAACAGGCTGAAAAGCATCCACCCTGATGCAGACCGCGTGGAGCTCCACTGGGGGAAGCGGCCACCTGTGCCCACCCTCGTCTGTTCAGTGAGAGCTCGAGATCCATGGCGGGACCCCTCCCCCACCCTGTTATTCCAAGCCTTCTCAGGAGCCCTTGGTGAGGGGCTTTGTCCAAAGCCCGTTGGAAGTCCAAGGGAAGAATGTTTCCTGGGTCTCCCTGCTGCACACGCCTGTCTTCCGTGCACTGCACGCGAAGGGGAGGGCATCCCTGGCCAAGCCGCTGCCCCCCCCCCCCCGGCCAGCTCTGTGGGCTGCCCTCAGCAAAGCCGTCGGTGGAGGGGAGCAGAGCCCTGCGTCCTCCCAGGGCAGCTTCCGTGTGGCCCAGCCTGAAGGTGGCAGTCCCTCCCCCAAGTCAAGCGCTCCCTTCCGGGGGGTGGGGTGCTCCAGCTTGAACGACCCCACTGGCGCCTGCAGAAGTGGCCGGGGAGCTGCAGGGGTTGCAGCTGGGGGCACAGTGGGGCTTCTCTCTCCCTGCTCTGGTCGCCCCCCCGCTTGCAGCCCAGAACTGGTGCCATAAGCTGCCCTGCTTGGGCCCTGATTCATGGCCCTCTGGCCTGGCCTGGCCTGGCCTGGCCTCCTCCTCCCGGTCCTCGGCTGCCCCTTTACGCAACGCTGGTGGCCTGCATCCCGGAGACCCACATCCGGCCACTGCACTGCCCCACGCGGCCCGGGAACGTGTGGCTTTGCGAGCGCTGCTGAGCGCATGGTGGCACCTCCAACCTCGGCACCCTCGGTGCTTCCCCTGCCTGGCAGTAGTTCTCTGCCACCGCCGCTTCGGGGCGGCAGGCTGTGGCAGCGGGGCCCGTGGACATTCGCGCATCTCTCTCCCCGGGTCTCTCCTGAGGGACGGCCCCGAGCGCCGCTACCTTCTTTAGGGTTTAGGCTGACGGAAGTGGCTTCCTTCAGGATCTCCCTGACCGCTGTCCGTGTGTACAGAACGCTGGAGACGCTGATGTTCACCGCGACCCTCTTGGGCACCACGGACAAGTTGGCAAGGGTGAGGACCAGCTCGATGTCCTTGCCCAGCACTGGCGGCTGCCTGAGCTTGAACTTCCCAAAAATCTCTGGGTGGGCGATTAGCTCCGAAGTAGCTGCCTCAGAGGTGCTGGCTCGTCTCGCACCGAGGCCCGACACCTCGGCACAAGCCTTTCTATACACGCTTCTTTCCTCGGCAGAGCCTGTGCGCGGAAAGGAAAGAGGAGAGCTCAGGCCCAGCTCCCGGTCCCTCTGCCCGCACCGCAGGTCTGCCCGGAGCTCCCTGCTCCCACCCACGGCCACTTCCAGGGGGACCCCAGAGAGTCTCTGCCGTAATGAATGCAGCTGCTTGAAGGCATCGCAGGACCGTTGTTTCCACTCTGAAATGCAGGCCTCTTCTGCTGGTAGAAATGGTCTTGCTCTTGGATGCACACCTGCCCCTTTGGAGGGCTGTCAGGGAAGCCTGAGGTAATGCTGGCCGGAGGCCACACCGATCTCCTAGCTGGGTCGCCCAGAGTGGAAGAGGAGACTCATGGGGGACCTGCTAGCAGGTGAATTGGAAGGGGCCCAGCGGAGGGCAACACAATGATCCAGGTTTGGAAGCACTGCCCTGTGAGGAGAGACGGGGAGAACTGGGCACGTTCAGCCTTGGGAAGAGAAGGCTGAGGGGGGACAAGGTGTCCCTGTAGAAGTCCCTCCAAGGCTGTCACAAAGAGGAAGGTGAGGATCTCTTCTCGCTGGTACCAGAGTGCCGGACACGGAATAATCAGTTCAAGTTGTGACAACCCAAATTCAGGCTGGACATCAGGAAAAGCTTCCTCATGGTCAGAGCAACATAGCAATGGGACCGGCTGCCTGGGACCAGCTCTCCTGTGAGTTCTCCCACAGGAGAGACCTTCAGAAAGGAACTGGCAGCCCTCTGAGTGGGAGGGTGTAACGTGGTGTCCTGCAAGAGCAGGCATTGGACTCGAGGGCCTTCCTGGCCCTCCCAACTCTGCTCTTCTAAGAGGCAATGACTGCGATGGTCCTTTGGGGAGTGCCGGGGGGGCGTCTTCCCCCAGCTTCCCACTGCTCTCAGGAGCAAGCAGCAAGTTTGCGGGGGTGGGGGGTTGCTTTTGGGCACCACACAGGGAGGAGCGAGGATGATCTCCAATTGATGGAGGCCACAGGAATGTGTGAACCCACAACATGGGGGCCGACCAGCCTCACAGCAGTGTTGCTGTGGGTTCAGGGTGAGAGTGGGAGAGGAGATCACGAGCTTCTTGGAGAGGAAAGGATGCACGACTACTAAAGAAGCGCGTGCCACTGAGAGGCCAGTCGGCTGCCTCTGCCTCCACAGGAGGAGGAGACGTGCCCGCGCCACAGCCCGCTGCAGCTCCAGAGCTGCGAAGTCGCACTGTTTCAGGTGTGTGGCCAGACGGGTGAGGTGCTGGAGTGCGCCGGCGGCCTCGCAGAGCCGGACTGTGGGGTGGGCAGGAGGGCCCTTCCCTCTCCAGGGGCCATTCGGGAGCCAGAGTCCTCAGGGCAAATGCCCACGGGGAGCCAGTGGGAGCACTGGGGGGGACGGGCCTCCAGAGCCCCCTGTGCCCGAGGGCTAGTCGGACACAGCCCCGCCCCCACAGAGCCAACCCGGCTCCTGCGGCATCCGCACCGTCCGCAGAAGCGGGTGATGCCCTGCAGGTGCTCTGCCAGCGAGCCTTCCCTGCACCTGCTCCGCCAGGTGGCTGCGGGCTGGCCTCTCGCTCGACGCCAAAAGGGCCTGCAGTGGAGGGAAAGGCCCTTCTGCCCCTGCGGTGTCTCGGAGACGGAGGGCGCCCTGACAGCGCGGAGCCTCCCGGCGTGCCTTGGGTTCGGCGCGGGGCGAGGCGTCTCCGCTGGCCCTCCTTCCCACCGTGACGCAGGGCCGCTGCGTGGGCCCCTCACGTGCCCGTCTCTTGCTCCAAGCACCTGCCACCATGTCAGCCAGCCCGAGGAGCCCCGGGGCGTCAGACGTGGCTGCTGCGGCCACGTCCTGCCCTGCGTGGGCTGGTCACGGCGCCCCCGAGGGACACGTGCCTGGTGGCTTCACACACACCTTCTGGGAACTTGTAGTTACTGGTGATGTCCACACGGAAATTGCTGCCCACGGCTTTGGTGCTCATGGCGGTGCCAATGGAGACGGTGTCGCAGTAGACGCGGGTCTTGCTGCCATCCGCCTGGACGACCCACCGGTTGATGTCAGAGTTCACCTCGCCGTACACAAAGACGACGTCGTAGTTCGTCCGCACGTCCCCGTGCTTGACGGACACGACCGAGGCTGGGCCGCACTGGTAGATCCCTGGAGGGGAGCAGAAGGGTGTGCATCACTGCGCCGGGAAGGCAGCTGGCGCTCCTGCAGGAGGCTGCGCGGGGCTTTACCTTGGCTCTTCTCCTGCGGCGTTGAATCGATCACTTGCCATCCCCCGTATGCCGCCCCCAGATCCGCTCGGACGAACCAGCTCTCGTTCCAGACGTGGTAGTCCCTGGGAAGGATGAGGGACAGAGGTGATGCAGAGGCAGCAGGCCAGCCTGGGCGCCGGGAAGCACCCCCTCCGCGCGAACCAGCCACGTGCATCAGCGGGGAAGCTCGCTGGGGGGCGCGGCTGTTGTGTGGCCAAGCAGCTGGGAGCACCTCTGCTCCTGTGGGGGAGCTCTCCCAGCCCCCGGGCCCAAAGATGGGATAAAGGAAGCGAGGGGGACGGCTGCCAGGAGGCGCCCAAGTGGCACTTTTGGTGGCTGTCGCCGGCTTCCCTGCCCCCCTGGGACAACTTGTGGGAGGCCCGGGACTGTCCTGAGCAGGGGCAACAGGCCAGGGAGAAGGCGCCTCGGCCCCCACTCCACGTGCGGCTGCGCTTGCTTGGGCCCACCCACAGGAGAGGCCAGGAGGACGTGTCCTCCACAGTCAGTGGCCTCGGGTCCAACTCCCCACTGAGCCAGTCAGAGGACACTGCCCAACGGGTCTGGGGACCCTGGGATGCTGGGAGCCAAGCAATCAGGGATCGAGCAACCAGAGCGAGCAAACAGGAGTTGGGCAGCGGGGGTTGGAGTCCCAACCTTTTTAACTTTTTCTCTTTTTGCTTTCTTTTTTCCCTTCGGTTTCCCCCTCCTTTTTTCCTTCCATGTAATACACTCCCGTTTACTGGCAGGACTGTGCCGTTAGCCTCTGGGGAGACGGGAGAAAGCCCTGGGTGTCCCCGCAGGCCCAGCAGCTGGAACCAAAAAGGCCTGCTCTTAGAAACAGAAACAGAGCGAGTCAGAAGGGGGCTCCCGGGCCATCTAGTCTGACCCCTGGCTCCATCCGACTCTGCTCACGACATGCCCACCATGTGCATGCCCAGCGTCTTCTGATTGGGTCACTTCCCAAATGGACTGTGGGAATGCTCTGGACGCGGCCTGTCTTGACTTTAGCAAAGTTTTCCGCAGAGGTGCCACGACATCCTGATGAGCAGGCCTGCTAAACGTAGGCTAGATGCAGAACAATCAGGTAGAGACCTAGAGCTGGCAACAGAATCCGATGCAAGGAGTGCTCGCCAGTGGCACTTTCTCAAACAGAGGAGAGGGAACGAGTGGGGAACCAGCCCCAAGCCAAGTTCTCTTCAGCACATTCATCAATGGGGAAGAAAAGTGAACAATTGTCAGAGCTGCAGATAGCCCGGAAGACAGAAAGACACGCCAAGGTGCTTTTGATAGGTTGGAACACAAGGCTAAGAACACGAGAATGACATTCAAGAGGGACAAATGCCACGTTCTGCACCCAGGAAAGAGAACCCAAGTGCACCCTTCCCTTACAAGATGAGGAAAACGTAACTCAGCTGCCCTGCAAGTGAGAAAGAGCCTGGAACCCGGTCGGCCCCCAGCTGAAGATGAGTCAGCCACGCGGTGTGGCTGCAAGAGGGGCAGACTGGGCCGCACTGGCAGAAGCATCGCTTCCGAACCCCGTGGCGTGCGCGTTCCCCTTTGCTCAGCACTGGCGGGGCCGCCTCTGGAGCCCTGCACACAGCGCTGGGCACCACAGCTCAGGGGAGACGCAGACAAGCTGGGGAGGGCTCAGAGGAGGATCCGGGGACGGGAAAGCAAGCCCTGTGAGGTGAAGGGAAGAGTGAGGGGAGACCGAGTCGCTCTCTTGAAGTCCTTGAAAGGCTGCCACACCGAGGGAGGACTGAATCTCTTCTCAATTATCCCAGAGTACAGGACCCAGAATAAAGGTTGCCACTTGTAGCAAGCCAGGTTCTGGCTAGAGATCAGGAAAACCTCGGGGCTGGTGGAGCTGTGTGGCAACGGACCCAGTGACTTAGGTGGGCTCTCCCACACCGGAGGCGTTCAAGAGGCGGCTGGGCAGCCACATGGGCAGGATGGTTTGGCTGGGTGTCCTGCACGGAGCAGAGGGATGGGCCCGATGGCCCTCCGGCCCCTTCCCACGCAACCCTTCCCGGATTTCATGCACAATGGGCAAATTCCTCGCACCCGGCCGCAGCCTTCAGGCCGTCCTGGAGGGGGCAGCGTGCCTGTCAGTGGGGAAACTGGTGCCTGCCACCCACCAGGACGACTGGCCGGAGCAGCACGCGGGCCGTGCCTCTTTGGCCAAGCAGAGCGCTTGTGGGACTCGCCTCCGGGACCCCCACACTGCCGGTCATGCTGGAGGGCACTGCAGGACTCGGGGCTAGACTGAAGCCCACTGGCCGCTCGCTGGGGCACCTCATTCTGGCACTGAGCCCAGCCCTTGTTTCCGGCAAGCGCGACCCACAGCGGCCCTTCTGCAGCCCTTAGACGCGCCCAAAAGCCCCCGAGGTCTTAGGAGGGCCGGAGGAGGGGCAGCTAGTTGAGTGGATTCTGCTTCGTCTTGGTGAGCCTGAATGTTGCTTCGTCTTGGTGAGCCTGAATGTTGCTTCCAAGTGGCCCGGTTTGACTTGAGGTTTCCAAGCACTTCGCTTGTTTCTAGTGCCTCGGAAGGTTTCGGTGCTGACGGCCAGTTTGGTGGGCGGGTGCCAGGAAAGGCCACTGCCCGAGTCGTGCGGCGTCAAAAGGTCTTCCTAGCAGGAGGTAGTTCTGCCTCTCCTGGAATTCAGCTTCTCGATGTTTGATTCACAATTATGATTACTGGGGAGGGGAATTGGTTGCTGTTATTGGGCCAGATGCCAAAGAGGACACAACTCTGCTGCGATTGTTCCACAGCAGAAGGGGTTTCCGCAGGCGTTGCCTTCATTCCCTCTGCAGCACAATTCTCTGCACTGTGGGAACCCCACTGGCCGGGCTCGCGGGATCCCCCGATTAGCGGCCCCTTCAGGGGTGTGCAGGAGTGGCAAGGCAGGATAGAAAGATTGCAAGAGTAACACGAACAATGTTCTAGGCCTGAAAACGGACCGATCCCGGCCGCACAGCTCAGATCGTTCCCTTGCTCATCATGTAGCTGATGGACTGCGAGGCTTGCCTGGGCACTGCCCCCCGCCCCACAGCAAGCCAGTCTGCTGCTTTCCTGGCCCCCTCGCTGACCCCCGGCTTCCTCTGGGAAAAGGACTCTGCATCCAAGGTGGCTAATGGGGGAGAGCCGCGCCCTGAACTGTTCCCTCTCCCAAGAGAAGCTCCAGACTCTTCCTGCCTCCAGCAACAGAGTCCTTCGGGGGCTGCTCTGTGAGAAGGCATTCAGAGCTGGAGCACGAGGCCGAGTTAACGCACAGCAAGGCCTCGGACCTGCCTAATTCTGCTTCTTGCGAAGGAAGGCCAGCCTGCGGCCCAAGCCATTCTGCTCCTCTGTCCTCACGCTTTCAAGAGAGACTTGGCTGGTCCTGCGGGCATCCTCAGAGTGGCCACCCAGCCCAGCCCTCCCACCCACCGCTGGCTGAGCGAGCGAGCGAGCGAGCAGCATTACCAGACCGAGTCTTGCCCAATGTTGAGGCTCTTGCCCGAGGCGTCATAGTACTTATCGATGCTGAGGTTCCGGTCTGCATCGTGGGCGGAGTTGAAGTTCGTGATCAGGCGGGTTGGGATGCCGAGGCATCGCAGCACTGGAAGGAGAACAGGCGGTGTTGCTGGGCTCCTGCGGGGGCCCCCTCCCCTCTCCCCCAGCAAGCGCACCTGTGCCGGCCACCCCTGCAAAGACCCAGCACTGGCCATACTGGACGGGCTGGTAGTTGGTCTGGGCCCACTTCCTCAGGATGTCCAGGCTTCCTTCCCACCGTGAGGGGTTCTCGTGGTGCGCAAAGTTCTCGCTCCACTTGCCCTCGAGGACTCCGTTGTCGTTGTCGTTCCCGTTGACCTGAAGCCGAGAGCCTCCGTGAGCACAAGGGGGCAGTCGGGGCGCTGGGCCAGGCAGGCTCTCCCGGCCTGCAGGCCTTCCTTGGGGCCGGGGGCGGCTGTCCAGGCCTTACCATGGAGCTGATCACACGGCCCACGTATCGAGGGTCGCCTCTACGGGATGTGTCTCCAGCCGGGTCCTGGCGGTGGTACAGGCTCAGGTCGAGAAGCACGAGGCAGAGGTTGAGGATGTTCTCTTGAAACTGCGGGGAACACGGCAGGCCCGCTCAGTGCCGGGGGCATGGGCCCCACGCACGCCCCTTGCCGCCGGCTCCAGGGCTGGGAGCGCGTCTCGGGCCCTTGCGTCGGTTGGGGAGGGCTGCTGCACGGGAGCCTCAGCGCGTGGGGCCAGCGCCAGGCCACCGTGGCCCTGCGGGTGGGTGCCCCGTGGCCCTGCACCCACGGACGGGCCTTTCAGTGGCCCTCCGGGAGGCGGAGAATCTCGTCCGGGGCTGACCTCCAGGGCTCTCCCGGCAGGTCCCCGAGTGCGGTCCGGGGCCCTGCTGCCCCGGGCGCTCTCCTCCCTGGCCCTGCCGAGGCAGCCGCAGCCCACGAGCGGAGCAGGGCAGCCCCCCACTCACCTGGCCGAGGTACCACCCTCGCGCTTGGATGTACTTGGCGTTGCCCACGAAGATGACCCCATTTTCGTTCAGGACGTATTCCTGCCGCTCGGCCTCGTTCCCCAAGTGGACGGGGTCCCCTGCGGGAGAGGCGGCAGTCAGAGGAGGCAGGCCGGCCCAGCGGAGCAGCAGCGGGGAGCAGGGTGTGGAGGCCTCCCCGGGGCCCACCTGGGGCTCTGGTGCCTCCCCACTGCCGCTCCCTTGACGGGGCAACCCCAAGTGGAGAAAGGGAAGGACACTGTCTTCCCATTTCCCACCCTTTCAGGACTAGGAGCCCCGGAGAAACCGCAGGCGAGTGCCAGCCCCCCCCCCCCCATTTGGGGCAGGGGGTCTTTCAAAAGCACTTCCTCATTCTTCAAAATGGGGCTCTGGACAGGCCCAACCCGGGGCCCTGGTATGCATGCATCAAAATCCCAAATCCCAAAATCCTGGCCCAAAATCCATCAGCGGAGTCCAGTCTCCCTCCCCTCCCCTTCCCATCCCTCCTTTTAAAAGGATCAACATTCTGCAGTGCCTCGCGGTTCCCTGACCAGACGCCCAGCCGAAAGGCCTCCCAGGCCCAGCAGCATCCCAGCCAGGGCCTGGCCAGCTCCTTCTCGAAAGGATATGGGCTGGGGCTGGGCCTGGGGCCTGGCGCTGGGCCTGGGGCTTGGTTCCTGGATAGCCCCAGGCAGCACGGGAGGCTGCGTGGGCAACAGCAATGGCCGTGCCAGGGGCTTCTGCAGAGCAGGGCAGGAGGCTGCAGCCACCGCCGCCCTTCTGTCCCCCAGCTCCACACTTCTGGACTGCATCCCAACACGGCATTTGCCCTCTGGCGGCTGCATCACTTTGTTGGCTCACGTCTAGCCTGTTTCCCACAATCACTCCGAGATCTTTTCCTTGTTCGGTTCTGTTGAGCCGCCTATTCCCATCTTGTTCCTATGTACTTGGTCTCTTTTTCTAAGGTGGAGGCCTTGGCACTTGGCCCTATTGAATCTCCTTCTGTTGCTTTCAGCCCAGTGTTCAAGTTTATCAAGATCGCCCCGGATCTTCCTTTTGTTTTAGGGTGTTTGCTATTCCACCCAGTTTTGTACCATCTGCAAATCTGATTATCTTTCCTTGTACTTCCTCATCCGAATCGTGAGTCATGTTGGAGAGCGCTGGGCCCAGGACTGTCCCCACCTCAGGCAAGGGCTGAGCGAAGACAAGCCAAGGGGAGGCAGACCTGCTGGTGCCCCGCAAGGCTTGGGGCACTTCGCAGCGCTGTGGCGCTCGTGGGATCGATGGGGGGTCCAGGCGCCAGTGAGGGCTTCAATTCGCCATCCTCCTGCGATTCCCACCACGTTGCCCAGCTTTTCCTCACCCTAGGAAAGGATCTGCTACGGGGTAAACCAGAGCGGCCGTCCAGGGCCTCCGGACGGGCGGCACCCACTGCCCCTCCCTGCCAGGCCTCCCTTGCCTCTTCGCACGCTGGCCAGGCAGGGCCGGGGTGGCAGACACAGGCCGAGCTTACCTGTGCACCACGGGTTGAAGAGCAGGATGAACTGCCCCAGGAACCGGGCTTGTGCCTGGTTGCCGCAGATCACCTGCAGGCTCAGCTTGTAGCGCCCGATGGGTGCCGAGGCAGGACTGCTGATGAGGAAGTTCACGCAGTTGGAGGTGCTGGATTCTTGCGCTGCGCTCCACGCGCCGCCGACCAGCGTGCCGGAGACAGGAAACACGGCCCTGGTGTGATGGGACTCGGAGGGAGCCTTCCCTGTCGGTTGGACAGAGGTGAGGCGACGGCTGTTTCCGACCTGAGCCACGCGACCCGGCCCAGGCAGGCTGCGGCTCTTCTGCTGGGACCCCACCAGGTGGGCATGGCGCCACGGGTCTGCGGATCGTGGTGCTTGGGCGCGGGACCGGGCTATGTGTGTGGCCCTCCACACAGCCCCCGGCCCCCTGCACCACCAGCAGGGGGCTTCTTCCAAGAGCTCGGCAACACTGGGAATGGTCTTTGGGGAAACTCCGAGCCGGGAAGGGAGCGCGCATTGGCGCATGCATCTGGCTCGGGGCTAAGGCTGCGTCCTGGGGGAGGCCAGGGCTGTCCTGCAAGCAGGTGAAGGAGAGCAGCGGACGCAGGGCATTACCTGTCTCTGCTACGAAGGCGAAGGTCTCCCCTTTTTGAGGATACCTGTTGAAGTACACGGAGAACTGGAAAGGCTGTCCTCGGCGGACCGTCAGCTCTTGGCCGACAAAGCGGTCGGTGTGATGCGCCCCCATGTTGGCGGGAAACTGCCAGTTGATTTGCGTTGGTGTCAGATCTATGGGAAGACCACCAGAATAGCCGCGGTCTACAGCGGGTCGGCGGGGAGGCCTGCCTGGCTCAGAGGAGCCCTCCGCCCGGACCGGCCTCCTCCTCACTGGGCTTGTGCAGCTGAGGGGCTGCTCTCCGGTGGCAGAGGGCCAGGAGGCCACGGCCATCCTGCCCAGCCAGCGCCCGGCCGAGCCCCCTTGACAGGACAGCTTACGTCACGCAATTAAGTTCAACCCTAACACCCAAAGCCCTGCAACAGGACTGAATCAGGAGACAGGCAGCCTAAAACCACATCAAGTTCAGGACTATTGTGGGTGCTTTTTAATTATGCAAATGACTTGTCTGTTAATTAGCTGTGCAAAGCGCAGCATTTCCAGTTAGAAGAGGAGTGAGCAGTCGGCCGCTGCCCACAAACAATTCGGCTGCCAAGGAAGCCTCACGCAGTGGAAGGAAGAAGAAACGCGGTCAGAAGCTGGCTGGTGCTGCTGCTCCCTCTTTGCTAAAATCAATTTTCAAATTAACTAAAAGATTCCTTGCAAAAAGAATTCTGGGGAAGGCCTTGCCAGAGCACACAGCCGAGCAGGCCCGCTCTCCCGGGAGACTGTCCTGAAAGAGGGACGTGCCCTGCTGTGGGGTCAGAGCAAGGAGACACCTCTGGCCAGCGCCCCGTTCCCCAAAGTGGCCACCCGAGGCCCGGGGAGCCCCCATGCAGGGCCAGAGGCACCGACGCCAGGCCAGGAAATGCTGCGAGGCGCTGGAAGCAGCCGGCAGCTGGCAGGAGGTCCTGCTGCGCCCTGGGCCCGGCAGAGGGCTGTGGGGCTGCCGCGCAGCGCAGCCTGGGGCCTGACCAAGCCCCAGACCAAGGCCGGGTGGGGGGCTGCTTTTTCAAGCTGCCGTGTGTGCAGCTTTCCTGTCGGGGTGATGCCACTTCCCCTTCGCCCCCAAATCTGGGTCTGCTGAGCATGTAGACACAGGACTCTCTCCCGGAAGGAGGGAGGGCCATCTTCTGACAGGAAAGGTGACAGAGGGGGCACTTCCCAGTAAAGGAGTCCCAGGGAGGGGCTGGGCTGGGCAAAACTAGGGAGGCAATGTTATGCTGCCTTTCAAGGCAGCGACCAATCGCGCCCGGATTTTAAAAACTACCCTTAACAAACACACAGCAGGAAGGAAGAAGTCCAAGCGCAGGAAGGGCAGGAGAGGCGCGCAGCGGGTCCACGGCGCCCCCAGGCCCGCGCTCGCCTGCTAGCTGCGGCCCGGCCTTGCCCGCTGTGCCCTGCACAGGCGGGCGAGCTGCCCCAGGTGGGATGCATCCAGCGGGGCACTGGGGGCCTTCTCCGCCAAGCGGGAGGGCGGCCGCTGCAGCCCCCGTGCTCCCTGCGAAGAGCCTCCCGCAGACCTGCCCTGGGTCTCCCAGCCGCCAGCATCGGGGGCCCTTCAGGCCTGAGTATTGCAGACGAAGGGCTGAACGTCTCCCTCACCACCTCCTCCCAACCTGTTTAAACTTTCCTCAGAGGAGAACTGCTCCAAAGCCTTCCACATTAGAGCTGTCTTCCTCCTCACTCATTCAAACTCGAAAACGTCCTTTTTCAGATGAAGCAACCAGCAGGTTACATGATATTCTGCGTGCAGTCGCAGCAAAAATTCACATCACGGGAATATAGTCTGGGCAGGTCTATTTTCAGTGCCTTCCTTAATTCTGCCCCGCGTGGCTCAGTTCGCCTTCTTGGCCGCAGCTGCACGCTGGGCAGGCGCTCCCAAAAGCTGCCCGCCACTCGCCCAGGGCCCCTTCCCTGCCCTGTGCCCTCCTGATCCAGGCCGCTTCTGATTCTGTGGGAAGGCATCCCCCCCCCGAAACCCTGAAGTCTGGGGGCCCCACCAGCTCCATCCCTCTGTTTGGAGAGAGATTGCAAAAGCGCAGCAAGGGAAGCCAGCCGCACCTGCTGAAGGAGGAGATTTAAATTTCTGGAATGGGGGAAATGGCAAAGTGGGTGGGAGAAGCTCTTTGAGGTAGCCAAAGTGCTTCTCTGGGGGGGACTCTCAGCCACACCCTCCCACAGGAAATGCCATCACTTGGCACATTCATGGAGGCCCAAGCGGGAAGATTGGCACTGGGTGCCCAGCGGTGACCACAGGCACCTGGCCGGCCAAGCAGCTAGCAGGGGAGAAGCGGCCAGGAAGTCGCAGGGGCTTCCGTGATGGCCCAGGGTGGCTAGGCATCTGGGCACCATGCACGTGGGAGACAGTCCCTGGCCAGCTCTGCGGCACATGGCCAGATGACCGCCATCTTTCCGGTTGTTCAGCTGCCCAAATTTGCTCCTAGTCGGCAGCACCAGGCAAAATGCCCCCGAAGGAACCCGCCAGAAGCCGGCCACCCCGCTTCCCCAGCCTTGCGAGGATCACCGGCCAGCAGGCACCAGGGCAGGGCAGGGCAGGGCAGGGCGATGGGAGGCTGCCGCTTCCATCCAAACTCACACGCCATCCTGGCCAGCGACTTCTCTCTCTCCGGCGCTGCTGGGCGAGTGTCTCTCACGGCTTGCCTTCCACCTGCTGTGCTGGGTGTGATGTGATGTGAGGCTCTCACGTCGCCAAGCCCTGTCAAATACCTGCCTGCAATTAGCCGGTTCCTATAATCTGTGGCTGCGCGAGGCCAATTTTCCTGTTCCAGGGGAGGTGTGGCTGGGGGAGGAGAGCCATCCCTGCTTACTCAGAGGAAGTGCATTCTCCTGCACCGGGATGCCGCATGGGGCTTCCTCTGGGGCGTTCCGAGGCAACGCGTCAGCCCAAAGACGAGGAAGTGGCTGCAGCGGGGGACAGGCCTCCTCTGCCCCCAGACTGCTCCTCGCCTCGCCCGCTGCACCCCTTTCGCCCAGTCGCACCTGGAGGGGGGCTTCCCTGTTCGGGAGTGCGGCCCACTCCGTGTTGGCCTCCCCGCAGGGCGCTGCCACGCTGCCTGCTTGCCCCTCGCCAAAGCCCTCGGAGGCTGCCGGGCCGGCACCGACGCTCCCTGCGTGCTGCAGCTCAGGCTCGAGCGGAGAGGGGGACGGAGGATGCCCCGAGAGGGACGGGGCCCCTCGAGCCACTTGCCAGAAGGGCCCCTGCACTCGTTCCAACTCTCGTTCCTTGGTGGGTTTTCCACAGTAAGCGAAGGGCGGGACACGGTGGGGAAACGTGGGAGGGCCACAAGTGGGGGGCAACGGCCTCTGAATTCCCTGGAGAACGTCTGCAAGCAAGGCGAGGCCATGATCCGGCAGGAGCCTCGCCTGGACGCCCCGCCGCCGTGGCCTTTCCAGAGGACCGTCTCTCTTTGGCCGGTGGGCCCCATCCCGAGCCCCTGGCCCTGCCGCCCCCTGTTCCTCAGCTCTGCCGCAAAGCCACGGCGGGAAGCAGGGAACAGGGTGGCGATGGCTTCGTGGAAAGGGAAACGCCTTCTGCTGCGTGTGCTTAGTTCCCCTTGCCTCTCCAGAGGCTACAGAGTTATTCCCCATCCCCTGGAGAAACTCGCGGGCCCTGTGTTCGGACGTGGGCCCTCCGCAGGCTCTGAGGGAACGCTGGCCAGCCACAGCTTTGGCCTCTTGGTATCGGCCCCCTTCTTGTGTCCCTGCCCTTGAAGACTCCCCCCACCCCCCGCCGCCCGCAGCATCGGGATGACTCTCCTCTCCCGTTGCTGTTGCTCCGGCCAGCTCATCACACCGTCCCCGCCTCAGTAATTGCCGGGACTCCTGTCCCCTGGGCTCTCCCGCCTGGCTTCCGCCAGGACACTCACCGCTCTCTTCCGAGAAACCGGCTGCGTGTGCTGAGGCAGCAGGGAAGCTTTGGGTGCGACCAACCACCTGCTGCGGCTCAGCCGGCACAGCTCACCCCACACCCTCGCTACGGGCTGTGCTGCGGGGCGCACGGTCCAGGTCTCCTTCCAGCTCCGGGACTCCTCCAAGCCACCATCACTGCCCTTCTTCAGCCAAAGAGCCTGACCCATCCGCGCTCACACGCCCCTTCGCTGCTGGCAGCCATGCTTGTCCCGGCCCAAAATTCCCGTCCAATCCCAGACAGGTTTTCTTCGCAGATGTTATCTGCCTGGCTTGCCTTTCTGGTTTGGAGATTTAGCAAACCAAATCCTGGGGAGGGGCACTTGTGTCCCTGGTTATTTCCTCCCTTCTTCGCAGGGAAGTGTTTCGGTCCAGCCCAGCTCCGCGCTGGATCCTGGAAGTGTGCCACCGCATGAGCAATGCTGTTCCTCATTCCCCACCCAACTTAATGGTCCTGATGTGGAGCACGGCCCTCGACCGGAGTAAGTAACCTGCCCTGGAAGCTCTCCTGAGTCATGGCATGCCCGGGAGTCGCAGGCTGGCTAATTGCACTCAGGAATGCCGTCCTCCGCCGGGATGGAGGACTTAACTTCCCCCAGCTTCCTTCTCCACCCCAGCCAAGAACTTCCAGCTTCCTTCCCTTTCTTGGCACCCAGGCTCACAGTGATGCAACCCTTACCTACGATGCTTCACCTTTCTTCTCCCCCTGACCCTGCTGCTCCACAGAAGAAGCCAATCTCTGGAGAAAATGGTCTTGGGACTGAATCTTGGGTGCTTTCTAGTACCGCTCACCACTTCCTCCTTTGGGGAGTTTTATGCCAAGGACAAGGCTGGAGGAAGCAGTGGGGGGGCTGCAAGTGGGAAGCAAAGTTGCCTGGACCCTGGTGAGCTCCCGGACGCAGGGCCCGGGGACCCCACAAGAAAGCCGCCTCGCCTGGAGGTCCCCCTTGCAGGCCCTGGAAGTTCAGGAAGTTCCTCCCACAAGACACGTCAAATAAGCTGGACACGTGGGCAGCTGTTCTGCCCTCTCCTGGTAGCCTGCTCACTGCTCCACGAGAGAGTGGCGTGACTTGACTCGGGCACAAGCACACAGGGTCACGGCAATGTCCCCTCCACTTCAGAGGCCCTTCCGCACCACCACCACCTGCTCCCCAAACACAGCCCTGCTTTGCACAGAGCCCTGCCGAAAATGGTTCCACCTGGTGGGAGGGACCGTCATGCGTGCCAAACATTTCGGGGCCGGACTGTTGCCGCGCATCTTCACCTCCTGGCTAGTGAGGCAGCCCGTCCTTGGCAGCCAGTCCCACAGGGACTTTGGGGAAGCCACAGGCCTGCCAGCATTACGGAAGGCCCACCCGTGGTCATGGCGGGCGCCCCGTGCGGGAGGTGCATACGGGAGAGCAACAGGGCCTGAAGCTCCCGTCTGAGCCAAGGCGCAGAGCCGCCTGCAAAGAGAGTGGCACTGAAGCCCGTGCTGAGAGCAACGCTGTGGCAAAGGGTTGCCTGGCTGAGCTGGAGGCCCTGAGAGGAGAAAGCGGCCACACGCGGTCCCTGCCGGCCGTGCCTGCCCCAGAGCTCAGGCCGTCGGGGCAGCTGCTGCGCTGGCTGAGGAGAACCGAGCGCGGGCTCTGATAAGAGCGGGCCTCTCCCTCTTTACATGACGCTCTCCGTTACCCCAGTTCTGTTGCACGTGGTGCCCTCGTTGTGCTGTTCTCAAAGTCTCTCTTTTTGGTTTTCTAGTTTAAGGAACCACAACCGGTGCATTCTTTCCTGCAGCCAGCCCTGGGACGGACCGATCTTTGCTGAGCGGCCCTTCCTCCCTGTGACTGTTCTCTTCTCGCTCACACAACCCATGGTAGGCGAGACGGGAGACAAGGTGGTGTGGCAATGCGGCCCACGCCAAGCAGGGCAGCCTGTGCAGCCATCAGGGCGCGTGGGCCATGGATTTTCTCGTGATGCAACTGTGTCTGTGAAACGTTTATATAGTGCCATTTAAACATAAAGACATAGAAACAGAGCGAGTCTGAAGGGGTCTCCCGGGCCATCTAGCCTGACCCCCAGCTCCAGCCAGCTCCACTCACGACATGCCCACCATGTGCATGTCCAGCCTATCTCTGAACACCCTCACCACCTCCCGTGGAAGCCCACTACTTTCCAGGGCAGTTTTCCAATGAGATGGCAAAAGCAAGGGACTGCTGTGTTCAAAATAACCAAAGCATGGGCGGTGAGATAAGTCGGAGGTTAAAAGCCGGGAAAAATTAACATGGGGGAAGAATGCTGTGGGCCTGGGCCGGGACTGAGGCGCTCCTCTCTCGCTCCCGGTGGCCACCTGTCCTGCGCCGGAGGGCAGCCCACCGCCGCCCCACGAGCCAGCCCTCCCTTTCCGTCGCCGCCAGCTCAGATCCCAGCAGGGTGCCCAATCTGCCTCACTTCTCATTTGCCTCCACTGGCCTTCGCCTGCTGTTCTGATGTCCGTTCTCCCAGCTCGGAGAGACCCCTTTGGAGCCCTGCACAATCTGTTCTGCTTTCAGCAGCCATAAATGGTTCGCTGCCATCAGCAAACCCGGCCACTTCACCATTTCTAACTCCAGATCATTTCTGAATGGGGGGAAAAGCACTGGTCCCAATGCAGAACTCTGAATGGGGGGAAAAGCACTGGTCCCAATGCAGGGATCCCATCCCTGGCGTGCCTCTGCTGCAGAATCTGCCACCTACTCCCACTCCCTGCTTTCCGCATTTTAACCAGTTGATTCTTTTCCAGCTGGGCTTGTCACTCTTGTGTGCCTACTGACTCTGCCTTTAATAATACTTTCAACCAGTTTACTCAGTACAGATGTTATGCTAACCAGCTGGTAATTTTCCTGTATCTCCAGATCTCCGGTTGTTCCAGATCTCACCTGGATCCATTTTAAAAAACTGGCTGTTCTCCAGTCCTCTGGCGCAAAGGCCACCCTTAGGGACACCTTACATGTTTACCTGAGAGTCAGTCTTTCATGCTTGAGCTCTTCAAGGACTTCAGGATGGATCCCATCGGGGTCCAGCGATTTCTCTACAGCCAGTTTGTCAACAAAGAGGATGGGCTTCCCAGTGGTGGTCCCCCAGTCATGGAATAACTTTCCCCGGGGGGGGGGGGTGCACGTGCGCGTGCTGAGAATAGCCTTTGATGCTTCATTCCATGACAGGGACTGTCCCTTACTTAGCGCGGAATCCGTCCCTCCTCAGCTCATGGACTTCCCCTCATGCTCAGCCCTGCCTGAGGAAGAGAGTGGCGAGAAGTTGTGGACACTCGCAGAGCTCCAGCTGCACAACTGGCGGCGTCTGCAGTGCTGTGTGCAGCACAAACAAGGGCTGCCAGCAATGCTTGTGTGCTCGACTCCTGGTGCGCACCAGCCCAGGATGTCTGGCTCACGACTGCTAGCAAGCACACCTGAGTCCGGGAGCGCGGCCCAGGGAATCAGATGGGCTTCCACCCACAAGACCCACTCCTCACCCATGGCGGCCCTCACCCGGTGACTGCTCAACACCTGGACCAGGTCAGGACCCAGAGTTGTGTGGGATCCGGATCAAATTCTGTCAACACACAGTGGCCTTCAACGCGACTCCGCAGAAGAGGAGGGAGATGCAGTCGGATTTGTATGGATGAAGGAACTACTGAATTTCAATTGCTGAACAGGATTAAGACTCCTAAGGCTGACTTGAGCACCAGCGGGTGCTTCCCCCAGCCCCTTTCTGCTTGCAGCCACTGTAAGATGTCACCCAACACTGTACAGTCAAGTTCATTCTCATGCACGCAGATGCGAGATGAATGCTCTCATGCTGATGACTTCATACCAGGAACTGGGGACTGAGATGAAGCTCACCATATTTATGCGATGACAACAGAAATGGTGCCAGCAGCAGGAATGGATCTCCAGAAATGCAAAACAGGTTCAAAGGAACTCCAAATACGTTGGCAGGATGACTCCTGCTTGATTCCCCAGTCATGTCCTGGAACCATCACCTCTGGCAGTATTAGGACTGGAGTGGAACATGGAACTCAGTGGGTTTGCATTTGAAACCAGTGCATTGTTGGAATCCATAATGAGTAGAAGGAACAAAACATTTTGCGCTTACAAGCATCTAGAAACACGGAAACTGCAGGGTTCTGTCCTGGGACCAGTACTCTTCAACATTTTTATTAATGATTTAGAAGAGGAAGTACAAGGCAAGAGAATTAAATTTGCAGATTACACAAAGCTGGGTGGAATAGCAAATACCCTGAATGACAAAGATAAGGTTCAGGGTGATCTTGATAAGTTAGAATGCTGGGCAGAGAGCAGCAGAATGAAATTCAGGGGGGACACACGGCGAGTCCTCTGCTCAGAAACAAGAAACCAAACGCACCGCCACAAGACGGGGAATATTTGGGTGAACAACGCTGCAAGTGAGAAGGATCTTGGGGTTGTCATAGATCACAAGCTAATTATGAGCCGACAATGTGATGCAGCTGCAAAAAGGGCAAATGCTATTTTGGGCTGCATTAACAGAAGTATCACTCCCAAAACATGTGATGTACGAGTTCCACTAGTACTAGTCAGATCTCACCTGGAGTGCTGTGCCCAGTTCCGGACACTTAAGTTTTAAAAGGATGCAGAGAAGCTAGAAAGGGTGCAGAGGAGGGCAGCAAGGATGATTCAGGCACTGGAGGCAAAGCCCTCTGAGGAGAGACTGAGAGAACTGGGCATGTTCAGCCTCAGAAAGTGAAGACTGAGGGGGGATATGGTAGCCCTTGGCTGCCACAAAGAGGAAGGTCAAGATCTCTTCCCATTCATTCCAGAGTGCAGGGCACGGAAAAATGGAATTGCGATAAAAGAAACCAGATTTAGACTAGACACCAGCAATAATGTCCTTGATGTCAGAGCAGCACAACAATGGAAGCTTTATTTGGGGGGACCGTGTGTTCTCCTTTGCGGAAGACATTCAAAAAGCGCTCGGACAGTCATCTGAATGCAAGGATGCAGCTTAGTGACCCGGAATAGTAGAGGCTTGGCCCCGACGGCTTTCTGGCCTTCTGTGATGCCATGAAGCATGGAAAAAGCCACACTGGATCAGACCAGAGGTCCGTCTAGTGCACATGGCGGCGACCAGCAGCCCATAGGATCACTTGAACAGGATGAGTGCAAGGCCGACTGGTGCGTGCCGCCTCTGGGGAAGAAGGGAGCACACAGCCGGCAGGGCGAGTAGCCACGGACCCCATCTGCTGCCATGAACCTGCCCACTCCCCTTTAGCGCCTTTTAGCTTTGTGTCCATCACTGCTTCCCACGGCAGCGGAGTCCGTATTTTCCTGTTTGCTGCCAGAGAGCCCCCAGGCTATGCGGCAGCACACAAGTGCAAAATATAACTAAATGAGTAAATTTTGACTATACGTTGTGTGAAGAAGTGCTTTCCCTTGTCTCCCCGATCAGCCTCATGGGATGACCCTGGTTTGGGTGCAATGGGAGGAGAAAAGTGTCTCCTCCATTTCCTCCACTCTGCGCAAAATTTTGATCACTTCTAAAATGTGGCCTCTTACTCAAATGTTCCAAGCTGAACTTTCCCAGTTTCTGCAGCTGCTCCTCAAGGGGAAGCCGCTCCAGCCTCCCCACCCTTTTCTCAGCCCCTTTCTGTATTTTCTCCAACTCAGTAATGCTCTTATCCAGGTGAGGCAACTAGACTGGAACAGAATACTTAAAATGCAGGTGTTTTGAGGTTTTATACAAGGGGAGCAAGTTCTTGGCAGCTCTATTTTCTATTCTGGTCCTAATTGTGCCTTGCATGGAGTTTATTTGACAGCAACTGTCCAAGACACCAGCGTTTCCAGGGAGCTGCCCAGCACCACCCCAAGACCCCCGTCTTGCACGGTCACTGCTAGCTCAGGTCCCACCTGCCTGTACCTGAAGCCGGGAGTTTTTGTCGCATTGCTCTATACCTGCTTTTACCGGACTGCATGTGCCCTTCAGATGGCCATTCCCCAGCTTGGTGAGATCCCTCTGGAGTCCTCCAGAACCCTTTGCAGTTTTGACCAGCTTGTCCCAGCCTGGTGGCCTTCGGAGGCAGTTGGAGCACAACGTCCAGACCTGGAGTGTGCCTCGTGTGGGCAGCTGAAGTCCCCCATGATGAGAGTACTGCCTTGTTGGAGGCCTTCCTCAATTCATTTGTCCGCTCACGCTTGCCGTGGCCGTTCTGATCTGGAGGGCGAGAGGAGGCTCCAAGGACTGAGCTGGTTTGTGGGGCAGGAATTGTCACATATGTGGCCCTGTGGAGGGGTCGTCACCCTTTTGATTTCAGAGTCTGCTGGACTCCTTTGCGTGTAAGGCAACTTCTCTCCCATTTGACCAGAGTCTGTCCATACGGTTTATATCCAGGGATGACCGTATCCCGTAGGTTGGCTTCGCTCCAGCAGGCTTCCATAATGCTCATTATCTGGCCTCTTCTTTATCACCAGGCACGCACCTTCCCCCATTTTGGCCCTGGCTGCGTCTCTCCTATGACATGGAGCCCAACACTGGACGCAGCACTCCAGTTGTGGGCGCACCAGAGTCGTGCAGGGCGGCATCAGCACCTCCCTACCTGGGAGCCGTGCTTCTGGCTCTACATCCAGGGGTGGTGCTCACCTTCTTAACTGCCACGTCACACGGCCGGCTCATGTTCAGCCTGCTGTCGACAAGCACCCCGAGGTCCCTTTCACGGGTGGTGCTCTCCAGCCACGTACCCCCCCATCCTGTCCCTGTGACACCCATTCCTGTGTCCCAAGTGCAAGACCTTGAATGCCATCCTGCCGTCCCCAGCCCACTTCCACACCTGTCCAGAGCCTTCTGGATCTGCATCACCTGCGCCTCAGTTGTGCCCACTGCCCCCACTTTGGTATCTTCCACAAATGTAGTCAGCAGACTGGTTATCCCCTCCTCCATGTCATTGACAGAAAGGTTGAGCAGAACCAGTCCCAGAACTGAGCCCTGGGGGGCTCTGCTCATCCCCGGGTGCCATCCTGGTGATTCCTTACTGGTAGTCACCCTCTGCTTGCGGTCTGCCAACCATGCCCCACTCCATCGGACAGTGCGCTGGCCCGTCCCAAAGCTCAACAGTTTCTCAGCCAGGATATCATGCGGCACTTTGTCAAAGGCCATGCTGAGATCCAGGTAAACCCCAGCCACTGTGTCCCCTCCGTCCAGCCACCCTGAGGCCTTATCGCAGAATCCCACCAGGCTCGTCTGGCAGGACCTGTTTGTATGGAAGCCGCACTGCGTGGCTGCCAACCCCTCATCCCTGTCTGGGGTTTCTGGAGCCTTCTCTACCGTGAGCCTTCCCATCGTCTTTCCCAGAATGGAGAAAAGGCTCCCTTCCGCTACCCTTTCTGAAGACTGGAATCACTGATGCCGCCCCCCAGTCCTCCGGAACCTCTCCTGTTCTCCGCTAGGCCTCAAGAATGCAGGCCAACGCACCTGGGCACGCGTTCCCGCCTGCTGCCCTGGCACCTTGCCTTCGCTAACTGGGCAAGCTGCCTCGTCATGACCTCGTTGCACATTTCTTCCCCCGCTGGGCTGGGGCAACCCAGCGCTCCCTCCCCTTTCCATTAAGGACAGGCTGGTCTGAATCAGGTGCTGCCTGTCTTGGGACTCTCCCCCAGGATCCAGTCCAAATGCTGCTCTGCCACCTTGCTATTGGTACGTGTCAGCAGCCTTGTTCCACCTTGATTCAAAGGTAGCTCACTCGTTTGTCCTAGAAAGTATCCAGTGTCTTGAAAATGGAAACCCTCTTCCTGACACCAGCACCTCCTCCACGCGTTGCTGCTCCTCAGCCGCACCGGTCTGGCCCCACATGTGGGATGGGCAGCATTTCTGAGAAAGCCGCCCAAATCTCAGCCTTCCCCCAGCAGCCTGAACTCGGCCTCCAGGACCGCTTGACCAAGTTTGCCTACATCACTTGTTCCGACACGCGTGACGCTCGCCAGCCCAGCCCCACCCTGTCCGAGGGGCTGCCCAGGTGGCAGGTGAGGGCCGCACGCTTTGCTCCAGGTGGACGACGTTCCGTGCCGTCCTCGTGCCCCTCGCAAACTCAGCATGGACTGCCCTAAGATGGAGCTTCCTCCCCCAGTGACAGGCCCTCTCGCCTTCCAAGTGAGGGGCCCTCCTGGAGGATTATTTCCTTCCCTCTCCAGGGGACCCCCTGCTTTGCCAAGACCCCCTTTATCTAAGCCCACAAAGGAGCTGCGACCCATAAGTTGGGGCCCTGTAAATTGCAAATCGGGGGAAACTTTCCTTGCACTCCTCTCTGGTCCCATGAACTCTTGGCTCCATTTATGAGCAGAATGAAATGCCCTTCCAGGAAATATGGGAGTGAGGTCTCAAATAGGATGAAGAGCTGGAATCAGTGGAAAGGCCAAGCTGCCGTTTCCTGGTCACTGCCATGGGGGACCCCCAAAGTGACAGTCACTTGCACCCACTGAAGGGGCTGCGGCGCTGTGGCCCAGCTGAGGCAGGCGGCTGATCAGGGAGGGGGTGCGTCTCCTCTCTCCGTGGTGCAGAGCAGCTCGCGATGCTTCCATGCCTGGGCTGGCAGGAGCAACACGAGCGAGTCCACTGGGTGGAGGGTTCGGAGTGTGGGACCGGGGCCCAGGAGGTCGGGGCCCCACTCCCCACTCAGGCCTGGGGCCACCAGGGGCCAGGCAAGACTCTCGGCCCAACCTACCTCACAGGGTTGTTGTAGTGAGGATAAGACTGAGGGGAGGGGAGGGGAGGAGCAGGAGCAGGAGCAGAATGACGTCAGCCGCCCTGCGTTCCCTGAAAGGAAACGGTGGGGTACGGGCGGCAGGGCAGGGCAGGGGTCGCAGGCCAGCGGCGGGGAGGCAGCCCCGGCGCCCGCAGCCGCAGCAGGCAGGGCGCGCCTCTCGGACGGGGACGGGGACGGGCGCGACAGGCCGGCGGCGGCGCGGGCGAGCCCCGCGAAGAGCCCGCCGCGCGCCCCGAGCCCGCACCGCCACGGCCGCCCGGACCCCACCGTTTCCTTTC